GCGCTTTCCTGCGGAATGATGTAAGGGGTTGTAGTTGATACTGCATATTCATAGGACTGGCGGGGTTGGGGAGGGACAAGTCGAAGTAAGGAGTCGGTGAGTGACTGGGGAGTTCGCATGGATTTCTAGGTCAAGGTCACCTTCCAGCTCCACTACCGGGTAAATACGGGGTATGTGCTGTACCTACTAGCCAGTACCTACTAGTCGAGTGGACTTGCCTAATTCTAACACCTCGGGTGGTGAGTACCGAGGGGATCTACGGGAGGGGGGGGGGATGTATGGGTATATGGGTGGGTTGGAGATGGGACTGCAATGTATGACTGTATGAGCCACTGCTGCATCTACCGTCTCCTCTGTGGTACGACTAGTGAGGTTTATCCCTATTACTGTGTATGTGGTCTTATGGTAGGTCCTGCCTACGAAAGAACTGGTTGCATGGTGTTTGTACACGTATGTTAAAAGATATCAACATAGAAGTTACCGTCTATAGACAACTGTTTGCTCCGTATATCGCAACCCTGGATAGCTGTCTTGGTGTAGAGCATCGGAGCAGATCAAACCCTCCCTCCATTCATCCTTTCCGAGACATCCTCAGGCATCCGTCCTGAAATCTTCCTAATCGGGACAACCTCGTGACCTGCAGCAGCAGGCGCGAGAACGAAGAATGCAGGCCTGGGACCCGAGCCCAGAACCTGCGCAGAGAGCCCTGCACCGTTCTGACCGCTACCGCCTTCGGCCTATTCTTGGTGAGCAGGGGCATTGTCTTGCCGATGTCCTCTTTTTTCATTCATCAGGCCATCCATTTCGCGCTGCCAGTATCTCGACACTTCTTTCACTCTGGAAAATATGGCATTCAGGATCCAATCGTTGTTCCAGCAGAATGGAGCATTCGACCGGCAGGAAATTCATCGGAAGTTCATCGAGCCTGCGGTATGGTCATATGTAGTATCGCTACGGATACCTCAAGGCGATCGGCTGGTGACACCGGCTGAGGCTCTCGTTGTTCCTTCGCATAAAACTGCGATTGAGTCACTTCCAATACACTCGCCATCACGCCATAGCAAATGACGAGTCTCTCAGCCACTTGTGATACTCTGGTTCGAAGCCGCTTGGAGCTTATGTTCAAGAACCTGGTCAAACAAAATCGTGCTGTGGTGCAAAGTTCACCCATTCCGTAAAATCCATGCCACTTAGATTCAACTCCTGGTCAACATCGGGAAACATACTGCCAAAAGTCGGATCAGTGAACAGTTGATCGTTGAATGGCATTACGATAGGGGGCGCCGGTCCCGCCGTTCGACCGGTCGCGGCACTCGTATACGCAGGCGAACACAGCCGGTTCACAACTTCCAGGCAGCGAACAGCAAGTCGATTGTTGCTGAGTGAAGGATGAATGAGTAGCTTCTTGGTGGCTTCTATGTCTTGGAGCCATGCAGGAGCGTCTGCACTGGTGGGATCAGTCATGAGCATGATTATCGGAATCAAGCCGGCCTGGAAGAGGAAGTACCTGTTGAATAAGTTAGTCAACCATAGACAACCCCAAAAGCAGAGTTCGTAAACATACAGCATGTACCAGGCTCCAATTCTCGTGCAGACATGGTTGTTCACAAAGTCGGTGATGGACGAAATGGAAAGTCTAGCATTTCGAAGACAGAGCTTCCGGCAGTCAACCTCGAAAGGGTCTTCAGGCTCTGACGCTGTGTTTTGCTGTGTCCATCTCCGTGATGCCCATCGGAGGAGTACCGGGCGGTAAAGAAGGATTCTCAAGTTCCAATCCCTCCACATCATGCGGTTGCGGACGAGCGCAAAAGTGTCCGATACCGGTAGAGGCGGTTGCTTGAAGTAGTCAGGAAGACCATTGTACCATTCCTCCATTGGCTTCTGGAGGCCCAAGGTTTCTTCCGCTGTGAGACTGGGTCCCGAGATGAGGCGTTGGTAGACGCTGTTTGTAAGTAAATGAAACCGAGCTTGGGCTATCAGCCCCGAATAGAGGGTTGGCTCCGTGACTTCGACGGGTAGCGTGGTGGTGGCGGGGGTGAGAGCCTGAAAAATGTTAACAACCAGACAAGAGCCGGGGCGATGATCTGTCTTCCTACCTCGTCGTGAATATTCAGGACGTGTTTTGCATCCATGACACTGTCTTCAGGTAATAGAATGGGCCGGCCAAATGTCTTCGCCGCACCACTGTCGAATATGTATACTCCCCACCACAGGCGTCTCCTGATCTCACGCTGAAGAAGGCTGATTTTCCAGCCAGGAAATTCTTTGTGGAGACCCAGACTCATGGCCATTCTAACGGCCAGGCCTAAGAAGTTCCACCCAGTATTGGGCTTGTTTCGTTTCTGTGCATAGTTGCTCAAAAGCAGTAGCGCCTGCACCAGGGTAAGGTTTCCAGTCTCAAACACGGAGACCTGCTGTAAGTGGCCTCGTGCTTCTTGGTAGAAAGTGATATCTAGGTCGGAGTTGTCGTCGCCAATGCACCAAGCACCCAGCGCCAGAATGGTGTTCAGCAAGATCTGCCATGCTTGACCATGTGGCCGGGGCACTTGTTCATAGAACTGTGCTCTGAATGTACCCTCGTGAATGAAAGGGTAGCTTGCATGATAGTTGAGGAAGAATGCGTCCATGAACGCCTGCTCAACTAGACCAGAAGGGGCGGTGTTGAGCAATTGGGACTTCAAGGGGACGGCATAGTTCGTCTTGGAAGTGCCAGCGGGGAAGTTGAGGTCAAAGCCATGTTTGAGCAATGTTCGGAGCGGAACGACGCTCGACGAAGCACCTACTGATGGTTAGAATGATCGACCACACCTAGATCTAAACGAAACACACACCAAAGTAACCCGCTCCTTCTGGTTTGATAGATAAGGCTGCCATGCCGTCTGTCAGATCACCCACAGTGATCTTATTCTCCGCCCAATCGAAGCCGTCTGCCTGTTGCGGCAGTGCCTCGGGGGCTGGTTCGGCTCGATCGGCCTCAGCCTTGGCTGGAGTGGAGTGCCTGGATGACGATTTGGACGATGAACCTGGTTTAGGCGGCCCATCCTGGTCATACAAGAGGGAGCGAACCGTCGCATCCAGATCACCTCCCGGAAACAGCCTCCCTAGGGCTGTTTCGAACGCCTGTAAGCGATCTTCCACATAGGTCAAATGTCTATGTAGATCTTTATTAGCGGGTTTCGCAGCATGTGAGGAAAGCTAAACAGATGCTTACTGTCTGGTCAAGGGACTTCTGGTGACTTTAGGACTATAGTTACAGTCCTTGTGCAACTGCTTGCATTGTGCACATGTAGGTTTCTCCTTAGAGCACTATAGAGGTGTTAGCGTATCTCATGTTCCTGCTTCTGGACATCCAAAACTCCATAGATGACTGCTCACCCTGGACTTCCGTAAACGGCATTCATCGCACTGCAAATGAAGATCAGCTTACTAGGTCAGTTTACCTGCGATCTGCGACTCACGGCGTAAGAGTGAGAATCACGAGTGCTGGCCATGTTTAGAGCAAGACGATCATTCGATCTATTGAATCTCTAAATCTCGTGCTCGGTGGTAAGTATACCAAACTGATGTCATCTAAATCAGTAGGTCAGCAACTTGCTACATGGTATCAACCGGTGGAAGTCCGATGCCAGACTTGAATCGGCAACATATAAGAATGAATGAATACAATATTAAAGGAAGAATGTATTGTGAGAAGGAATATAATGCCAAATCCTAGCCAGGCCACAAGTTGGGACAAACAAAAAAGAGTGCTCACGATACAGGATGGCGCAGACACCGGAGACGGACTGGTGGGGTATCAGGAACAAAATGAGGTGGCGGAAGAACATAACAGGACAATAACAGGGCCAAAACTCACGATCGGCACGGCGGCATTCAACGGTCCAGCCCTTTTTGTACGTCGGAGACAAGGCCGACCGTCCAAGTCCGTAGTACACGTAGTACAGGTCCAAATGAGGACGACAGGCCTTCGAAAATAGAGAGGGGGGGGAAATTCCACCTGTTGCGAGCGCGACGAGGGAAGCTGCAGCTGATGTGATGATTGATGCTAACTCTTAGAGAGGCTCGTGTGGGGGGGGGCAGCCAGTCAGGTGACACGCTGCGAAAGAAATTTATCGCCCTCGATTTTCAGGAATCCATTCCCAGTTTCCCTCGGTCAGCCTGAGATCCTCAGGCAGGAATGGCTGGACATCCACTCTTGCTCTTGTCTTCTTTTCGTCAGGGTGGAATGCAATTGATATCTACTCCGTAGACTGTTCCCCATGCATATAGCAAGAGAATATTAGCTTGTAGACCTCTCCTTTCAAGCAACTGACTGATTGATATGTTGATATGCACGAGCTAAAGTCAATAGAGTGAGTTCGAGGTACAGAATGCGGACCGGATGGTTACGATGCCAGTGGACGCTGCACCTCGTGAATCCGCGTCGTGTTATCTAGCTTGGTGGACAATCACCATGTGGAAGAAGCAGAAACTCTCGTTGGTGGGATGTTTCTGCAGGATCTCTCTAGTGGTCCGGTGCATTAGAACCGTGACAGCTCCCAAGGTAGCTAGCTAAGGCCAGAATATATAGTGCAGCCATGCGGAATCTTCAAGCATCTCCAAGACCGCCAAACATACGAAAGTCGTAGCGCATATCTCACCTCATTTTAGTATGAAGGAAATCGAGAGAATGAGGCGGGTAATTTCCAGCTGTTGCACCATAATACAAGGAAATAAGAAGTTGCTGGTGAAGGAGTAAATGCTCTCTGCCCGCGACAATGCAACTGCTATCAATCAGTCTTGGCGCGGTCCTCCCGCCAATTGCAGACCCCACAGGAAATTCAATTTTATACAACGTCATTTGCAGCAACCTTCAGCATCCAAAAATTACTCCCGTGAAGCCCAGAAAAAACATCTCACTTTGCAGCAAGAGGGCTTGGCTCCAACTGCGCTCGCTCATTTCTACTTGCAGACTTATACCCATTACCGAGCGATCTCCCCCCCTCTGAAGCGATACAGCCATGCCCACTCAACCGCCCCTCCCTCCCCTCCTGGCACCCTACGTATCGTCTTTACCCCCCTCATCTCTCATCGTTCTCTCCACCGTCCTCGGCGCTCAGGGCAATTGGCTCACATTACGATATCTCTACGCCGCACTGAATGCATTATCCACCTCCGACGCTGCGCTAAGTTTCGGTGAAGGTCACAATGGGAAGAAACAAAAGGTGGTGCTCGTGAGCTTCCTGCGGGGTTGGGAATTTTGGCGCGCGGAAGCAAAAAGATTGGTATGTGTTTTTTTTTCCCTGGTGCAACACCCCCAGCCCAACAAAACCCTTGGTGATTAGAGGGAAATCTCTTGTGCGGCATGAAGAAAGAATTCTAAAACGACAATACAAAATTTCCAGGGCTTGGATCTCGCCCGTCTCACAGACAAGCGCCAATTTGCCTTTGTCGATGGCTTATCCGAACTCTTCGCCGGTCCGCGGACGACGCCGACGCCGACCACCCCCACCACCACTAACACCACCACAACCCAAACCACTCCTCCCTCTCTAGCACCCTCACCCCGCGGCGGCCCTGTTCCTCAGCGGACAGTTCTCCCCAATCGATCGGCGCCAGGTCCCATTCCCGCGCGAGGGCCTCAACCCGCGCGCGGGCCCGCGGTCGCCGCCCCAGCTCCGTTGGCTCCGGTGGCACCGTCAGCTCCGCCAGCTGCGCCGGCTTCTCGAGAGGTCGGCCCAGTCAAGCGACTGCACCTTTCCGGAAAGGGGCCTGCAGCCCTTGACAGACTCGAGAAGGATATCGCGGCGGTGGTGGGGCATCTGAACGGGAGGGCGACGGCTTCGGCGGAGGAAGAGGACGATTCAGAGGTGCTGTTAGTCCTCGACCAACCGGACCTGCTTCTAGCCGCGACGGGTCCCGGCAAGGAGATTGGAGCTACGGAGATGACCGAGTGGGTGATGGGCCTACAACAGGTACGTCTTCTTGATCGGATGATGATGATGATGATGATGATGATGATGATGATGATGATGCGTGCGCTAACCATGTTACGTTCTTGTGGGGATATAGTATGTCCATGCTACGGTCATGACCCTCGCGGCAGACTTGCCCTTGATACACAACGCCTCGGCGGCTGGGCATCAAATGCCAACGCCGCTGGAGACCGAACACGCCGCGTTTGCGATCGGTTCGGCCCACCGCGCGCATCTGGTGATGCAGTTGCGGGATCTGGATACGGGGGCCGCGCGGGATGTGAGTGGGGTTCTCAGGGTAAGTAAAGGAGGTGCGTGGGGACAGAGCGACAACACCGATGCCAACGGGAATTGGGAAGAGAAGGAGGCTTTGTACTTCGTGCAAAGAGATGGTGGAGTCAGCGTCTTCAGACGCGGGGAGTAGGGGGATCAGTGTCAGTGGGACCAGGGTGGTGTGGGGGCGGAGGCGTTCGGGCGCATTCAATCAAAAAGCATAGAATGGTAGATTGATTTGTTTCGCAAGTTGATAGGCAGTGCAAGGATAGATACGTTTCGGTAAGGTTGGCAATCGGAACTTTAAGTAGACAGATCACATTGGATGAATGTCTCAACACGGCGTCTGTCTCGACATGGGATATCCGCCAGCCATAAACAAGTCAAGGAAATTCATGCATTGCTTTCCCTTCTGCTTTTTTTTTTCTTCGTGAACAACACAGGACCCCCCACGGAAAGAGAGTCCGTTCTTTTCATTTGTCGTCAATATGTGCCATTTTTCTCTCTTTCTCTAGAATAGAAATGCTATGACGGCAAAAAAAAGTGAAAAGACCGTCCCACCACCAACTCCACGGGGGAAGCGCCTTTTTTTCGCCTTGCACTGAAACCGGTTCACTTCATATGCTCGGCCTTTGTCATACCAGCCCTCTCCAGCCTCCGAGAATGAAATCGCGACGTCGAACAATTAACTTAGTTGCTGCTCGAGGTGACGCCACGGGCACCCTTGGGGACACCGGTCTGGAAGCCGTTGTGGAAGCGGCGGTGGACCTCCTTGAGGTGGCGCATTCTGCCGGTACCGGTGGTCTTTCTGCGCTTGGCCTTCTCGCTCCAGTTGACTATATGAAATCATAGATTCGTAAGTCAACAGTCTGTCTCAAAAATACCAAAACATGATCTGTGATTCGGGGGTGGTGGGTGGGAATCTTCCGGTGCTCGAGGAGGTTGGTTTTTGCTTCTCCCATTGTCGAATCAAGCACGCACGAAGGCCCGGTGGTGTGTCAAGGATAGGGTGGAGTAATCGGGGGAGAGTTCGTACACTTGCGAGTCTTAGCGGAGGGGTAACCGCAGTTGGCACAAGTCGACTTCTGGATGTGGAAGGAGCGTTTGCCTGTAGATATCCCAATGGTGCGCAATCCGTTAGCCCATTTGATCCCATTGTCGTTCCCAGCAAATTCCCTTCAATCATTCCCGGCACATGATCCCATCTCTTGAAATTTGATCATCCGTTGATCCGCAAAAATATTCCGCCGTGTCAAACAAAGGTATCGGAAGGTGAAATACTGACCACAACGCCTGCAGAGGGTGTGAGTCTTGTTGTGGCGCTTGCCAAAGCTGGAGGTACCCTTCGCTGTAATCGGTGTCAGTTGGCTGTCACATTTTGTCGTCGCCGAGGGACCGGTCGGAAACGGTAGTGTATCATGTTGGTAACGTACTCATCTTGAATTAGGGGAACTAAAAGTGAAGCAAAATAGTCAGCGAAAAAATGTCCGTCCAGCAGATATCCAAAAACACGATTATCCGACAAAAATAACCTACCTGGCGATTCCGTTGAAGGGCTGGTTGTCGTTGTCGTCGTCGCTGGGCGTATCGAAAGTTGCGCTGGGATCTGGGGTGGTGTCGCTTAGCGAGTTGTGGCTTCCAGGGCTTGTGCCCTGGTCCCGTGATCCCGTGACTTTCCGCCTTCTTGAAAGATGTCTTCCGTGTCACGTGTCGGGCTCTCGATCTTGTCGCGGCTCCACTTACTGTCCTATCCGGGTAGCTAACCCGAGACTGGACTAGCGCCTTACAACTTAGTTGTTTGTTTCCATCGATGGGTCATTTACTCACAGCTATGGAGTAAACGCCGGGTGGTCTCCTTGTCTTTCTCTTTGCTTATGGTCGGAATGGTCGTTGCCTTCAAACAAATACAATCAATATATCGATATATCCACAATTTCGAGGAAGGGTATCTATATGCATTGCGCGATTCATGTCGCAAAACAGAGGCGCAGAGAAATATCTTGCCAAAAAGCCACTAAACCAGATCATCTTTTCCCATAAAAGCGGCCATAGGATCGTCCGCAGCAAGCCTGCTTCGTTTGTATGAATCGAGCTCTTCCTCCGTGATTCCTGACTGCACCTCAATCAAAGTTCTCTTCTTCGTGTTTGCGTTGGTCACTTCTCCCGCCTTCTCCAAGCCCGCCTGATCAGGATTGGCGTGGTTCTCCTCAAGGTCACCAGACTGTTCGGTAGCGTCTTCGCCATCTCCTTCCGGTAGCATCAAGATCTGGTCTGCCTCTCGGAAAGCGCGCTTGCCGTCCTCACCAGTACAATAACTGTTCTTCACAGTAGAGAAACAGCAGGCATATCCCCATTCGAAGTTGTGCCACCAGCTTCCCCAAACGGAGGTATGGTTGTTGTTGAGGATATCTTCCGCGTACTTGGACTTTGCTGCTTTCTTGGGAGCGCCCTTGATGGCGCCAGTCTCGTCATATTCGATAAACCTTTCGTTCTCAACCACCATGGTTTCTCGTAGCGGAGTTGGGTCAAGATGTTCCTGACCACCGTATTTCTCCAGAAGAGCCTTGCGCTGAGCATCACGCTTGGCCACTGTCTCGGCCTCGGCTTTCTTGCGCATGATCTCGCCTGCTGTCGGATTCGCCTGCAGGTGAATCTTCTGCGTACCCTTCTCTTGAGACTCCCAAGCATACCGCTGTGCCTTCTCGAATTCAGCAGCATCTCCGGAAGCCCGCACGAAGTTCTCCTCAGCCACCAGTGCTGCTGCCTGATCATCTTGGGCGCCCATGTCAACCATGCGCCGCGTCTTGGGATCGTATTTCGCGGAGTCCAGATCGAGGTTCAGCAGATATTTAGCGGTGTCTTCACGAATACGTAGGTTGCGAGTCGCGGTGCTTTGTTGTCGGCCCATATCAGACTCTTCTGCGTAGCGGGCTTCCTCTTCCGGGGCCTCCTCCTCATCAAGTTCACCGTCTGTGAGCCCATTTTGCCTCTTCTCTCCTTCCTTGGTAAGTTTCTTGAGCTTCTCCAGCTCCTCATACTCCTGGACCACCTGGCGATATTCGCTGGCGTCATAGCCATTCCACCGGTCTCTCTTAGCGTCCCAACCCATGTTCACATCCTGTATAACTTCGTCGGCCTGGATGTCTTTCCCTGTCCACTTGGCACCGTGTTTCCGAGGTCGACTGAGGCACTCTTTCGTTTTGTGGGTCATGGCGCCGCAATTCTCACAGGCGCCTTTGCGGTACTTGGTGGCGGCTGGACCCGCGCGCTTGCCACGCTCATACCATTTCGACTGATCTGTCGTCGACTTCTGCAGACGTTGATGCTCAAGGTAATCGTTGGTGGTATCGTCATCATCGACATAGAACGGTTTCTTGGAGATGAAAGACGGAATGTACTCGTTGCGTTCCTTCGACGCCACATCGGCTGGCTTTCGGGACATGGTGATGAAGTTGCGTGAGAGAGATGACCAAATGTGAAAAGGGAAACCTCTCAGTCCGGTACTGAACAGATGGAGGAGAAAGGAAAGCGGGGAAAGGACGGTACGGTCGCGCGACGACAGTGAGGCAAGTCGTTCGGCATTCTCGAAGCGGCGGAATCCTTGGCGATCGTGGATGGACTGGCTATCATCACGTGATCTGGCGTAGATCCGCGCCACTGGGCGCGTCACTTCCATGGTAATTCTCGACACGACCTCGGACTTTTGCTCGCAGCAGACGGCAAAAGGTCTCCAGAGACGCGCATTAGCAGTGCCATGGGCATTCGGATTTCTGACTACGATGTCCTTTACTGTCGTTGAATAGCTATGTTGGTGACGGCTTTGTGCCGTCTCGAAAGTACGCAATGGAACCCTTCCAAGTGCGCCTTAATTGCGTGGATCATTATCAGGCGGCCCCGTCGGATTTCGACCCTCCCCTGCTTTACAGGGATCCGACCTCGGGCAAAAATGATCGGGTCAAAGTCCCTATCATCAGGGTCTTTGGCGCAACGGAGACTGGCCAGAAGGTCTGCGTTCATGTCCATGGCGCATATCCTTATCTCTATGTTCAATATGAAGGCGATCTAGATGAAGAGAAAGGTTTGTCCGCCACAATGGTTTCCTGACCCCGAGTATCCCCATGGCTAAGTGGCACTGTAGTAAGTGCCGCGACCAAACATCTCCATCTCTCTATCGACCGCGCACTAGCAGTGAGCTATAATCGAAACCCCAACGATAAGAAATTCGCCTTCGTCGCGCATATCACCTTGGTCAAGGGCGTGCCTTTCTACGGCTACCATGTTGGCTACAAGTTCTACTTCAAGGTTTACTTGACAAACCCGATCTACATGACCCGACTGGCCGATCTGCTGCTCCAGGGTGCGGTATTGAAACGACCTGTCCAGCCGTACGAGAGTCACCTGCAATATATCCCTCAGTGGATGTGCGATTACAGTTTGTACGGGTGCGCTTATATGAAGTGTAGCAACGTCAAGTTTCGAATGCCCGTGCCCGAATATCTCGAGCTCACTAATTCGTCTCACCGCTGGCATGATCGTTCGATACGCCCTGAAGACTTGTCGGATTCCTCAGTCCTCCCCAAACAGAGCTACTGCCCGCTGGAAGTCGATATCTGCGTTCAGGACATCATGAACCGCTCTGACGTCAGTGAAAGGTCTATTCACCACGACTTTACCGAGTACTTGAAGCCGATGTCTTCCGATCAGCGACTGGTTCCGAGTATGGCTGGCCTTTGGCAGGACGAAGAGCGCAGACGGAAGAAACGTCTCGGACTTGAGCCAGGCAGCAGTCCGTTTGTCGCCGAGGAGCTAGTTTCCTTATCGGTCGATCCGAGGAATACCTCGCAAGGTGGCTGGATCCACGAGGAAGAGTACAGGGAGATGACAATGCACACGATCAACGAGGAAAAGAGCCACTACAATGGCGCTGATGTTAGCTTTGACAATTTCCTAACAGAAAACCCCTTCGCAAAGAATGTAAAGACCGCGCTCCAGAGCGTCGAGGATTTCTATCCTGGCAAGGAAGAGCTCACCAGAATCGAATTTCGTAGTGATAATGACTTGCAGCTGCCAGAGGAGTCCGATGTCGGTATCGGCGAGGAGGCATTTGTTCCTGCCAGATCGGATGAGGAGTCGTACAATTCGGAAGAGGATGACATTTCGAGCCTGTTGCATGGCGAGACACATGAAGAAGGAATCAACACTTCAGAAGATTATTGGGCTGATGGCTTATTTGATGTCGCTTCCCACAGCATCTTTGATGATGAACCAGATCCTGGAGTCTCTGACCCAGATCATGATGTTGATTCTCAGGCAGAGTTTCTCGATCCGGAACACTCGGAGATCTTTGAACATACTACATCAGCGCATACCGACGGCTTGGAGGCTGAGCAAGACATTCTAGATGGCAAAACCCAAAGGAATAAACGCTTTTCGGATCACTATTCAAGCCGCGAACGTCCCCACAAACGTCAACGATTCTTCGAAGATGCTCTATCGCAACAGTTAGAAAGCCCGACAAAGCAGGTCTTGCGGCAGCATGCGGCCCATTTTCAGATCGACAGCTCAGATACTGAAGACATGCTAGACGAGCTATATGAGTTTGTGGAACATTTGCCGTCGCAGGAGAAATCGTCACAATCTACCATCCGCCCAAGCAAGGCACAGAGCAGGAGGATAAGCTTCCCTGTTGTGAAAGATCCCAATGACCCTATGACCGTCTTGCGATTTAGTCAGGACAGTAGCCTCTCTTCCAAAGATTTGAGGGAAGTTGACGGCGTCAATGTGTCCGAGTCTAATGAAAACATCTCTTTCAAAACCAGTTTCAACGAATCATCATCGCAACTGCAGTCATCGGCTACTGAGACTAGGCCTGACCATGCAAATGCCCATTCAGATACCCAGGCCTCGGAGATAATGAACAGCATCTATGGCAGCTTCAATATACCCATGCAAACTCGTATTGGCTTATGGCGAAGAGCCTGTCCCAGCTCGAGCGAAGTCTCCTCAACCCTGTGTCATTTTGGATATCCATCTACTATCTACCAGAAAGCCCATTACAGTAACGAGAACGATGTGCCCGACCGGCCAAGGGATTATGCAGGGAGAGAGTTCCGTTTGGAAGGAGTTTGTATACATTTTCTTCCCAGATTTGATCCTCTAGGACGGTCTGTGGCGATGCTAGGCGACGATAATGCTGTGTCAAAAGACAAACGCTCCCAGGAGAAGACTGATCAACTGCTGCGCGAATCGTGCACCTTGAGAGAGTGGGAGTTTGCCCCTGTACCGCCCAGTCGCTCAGAGGTCATAGAGTGGTTTGAGAAAGTCGAAGAAGAGGCCAAGAAAGACCTGGCAAAACCGCAAGCCTTCCCACGCGAGCGAGTCCAAGCGAACGTCATGTCGCAGATCGAAGGTCCTACGCAA